GTTACGGAGCTGCAGCCCTCTGAAAACGGCTCAGAGCGCGAAAAGTCTTGGCCACTTACGCCCTGGGCCGACTTTGGAGGGCGGGACATTTTTATTCTTGCTGGAACAAAATCCCCTATATTCCGAGGTGTTCAAAGACGGCCAAGCTACCATCCAGCGTGGTCGCCGGATTTTGTTCCACCAAGGTTACGAAGCTGCAGCCCTCTGAAAACGGCTCAGAGCGCGGTACCCGAGGCACGACCGAAAAATGGACCAAAAGTTAGCCATCCAGAAATGCGTAGTTGGACCTGGGGAACAACATATCAGAAGATGGCGGGACACTTTTTCGGAAAGTCTTGGCCACTTACGCTCTGAGCCGACTTTGGAGGGCGGGACATTTTTATCCTTGCTGGAACAAAATCCCATGTTTTCCCGAGGTGTTCCCAGACGGCCTAGCTACCACCTAGCGTGGTCGCCGGATTTTGTTCCACCAAGGTTACGAAGCTGCGGCCCTCTGAAAACGGCTCAGAGCGTGGTACCCGAGGCACGACCGAAAAATGGACCAAAAATTAACCATTCAGAAATGCGTAATTGGACCTGAGGAACAACATATCAAAAGATGGCGGGACACTTTTGCGGAAAGTCCGCCTTCAGCTGCACGACGACGAGCACCTCTGCACCAGCCAGCTTGACGCTCTCCATCGCCTCAGCTGCTGGCCCTGCTTCTGCTTTTGGCCTGCACTTGACTGTTGGACGCCACGCTACGCCACGCCACGCCGCGTCTCCGTTCAAATGACGTCACTCCACTAAGTAGGCTCACTATCGAGAACCGCTGTTTAACTTTACTACTGTTGCGCTACAGTGTGCTCAGAATATTCTAGAAACTACTATTGGTATTCAAATCTGGAAATATAGATAGATAACATTACTGTACCAACGGTTCTACTACTCTCCCGTTGTATTCTCTTTAAAGACCCCAAACACACCTTCACATCCTGTGAAAGTTATGTGGGCCTAGACATTTGCAAAGTGTGCACACTTCGTGATGAGTTTCCATTTCTAATTTATGCTTATTTACCACCTCAATTCGTTCTGGCTAAATCAGGTCTATTTATATTGGTGTTATCAGATGATGATACAGTTGAAAGGACGAGTTTTCTCGGAAAAAGGTGGCTTTTTTGATACAGTACTGAGAGGCCACCTCTCACCCACACCACCACGGTATGAAAAATTTAGCGAGCGTTAAAATAATATTTTCTGGCAAAATATTATTTTTGAACTTTTTACACGATAACGTTTCTGGGTGGAGTACCGTGCTCGAGCGTCTGCAGGACCACAACAAGAGCCAACGAGTAGTTGGTGACACAA